CGACTACCACTGCCACTACCACTACCACTACCACTACTACTACTACTACTACTACTACTACTACTATTACTACTACTACTACTACGACGACTACGGCGGCTACCACTGCCACAACAACTACTACCGATTCCCCCCCACCACCAGCAACACCACCACCACGACGACGACTACTACTACCAACTACTACTAAATACTTTTGCTTCTACTACTACTACTACTACTACTACTACTACTACGAGTACGACTAGCACTGCCACTACCACTACCACTACCCCTGCCACTACCGCTACCACTACCACTACTGCTACTGCTACTACTACTACTACTACTACTACTACTACTGCTACTACTACAACTACTACGAATACTAATACTACCACTACCACTACCACTACCGCTACCACTAACACTAACACTACTACTACTACCACCACCACCACCACCACCACTACTACTACTACTACTACTACTACTGCTACTACTGCTAAAAAAACTACTGCTACTACTACTACTACCACTACTACTACTACTACTGCTGCTGCCTCTACTACTACTACTACTACTAATAATAACCCTTCTCTATCAGTACTAGTAGTACAGTACAGTACTACTGCTCCTGCCACTAGTACTACTGCTACCACTACTGCTACCACTACCACTACTGCTACTGCTGATGCTGCTAGTCCTACTCCTACTCCTACTCCTACTCCTACTCCTACTCCTACTCCTACTCCTACTCCTACTCCTACTCCTCCTACTCCTACTACTACTACTACTACCACCACTACTACTGCTGCAGCCAATTGTCAATATTGCTTTTTGTGTGGCCGGGTGTTTGTAGACGGCCTCTTGTGGCCTGTACGGCCCATTCCAAAAGTCACATATGCCTATGAAACCAACATGGAGGAGACTTCACGATGTCTGGTGTGGGGTGCTGGCCTGTCATAAGTTTGAGTCATAACTAGAAATCCTTGTGTGGAACTCCTGAATAGCTACGTTTGTCTGGGCTCAGGGAAACACCCAAGACAGTCGCCCACCCGCCTTGTCTGCTGCGCAGCGTCTCTAGCGTGTAAGACTTCGGGTGCCGGAGCCACCAGTAGGCCACCGCGCCTTGGTTGATACACGTCGTGGCTCAGGGCTTGCAGGAAGAGTGTGGTCGTTTCTTGTGAATGCCATGTGCTACTCTAGCCGTAGCATTCACGAGAGATAAAGCCCAACTCAAAACCGCTCGATGTCAAGCATCCTACCAACCCTTGAGATGTAAATCTAACTCCTGCGCTTGTATGGAAAAAGGATCATCATGGAACTCTACTTCAAGCCCTCCCATACTGAGTACTGGCCGGTGCCAAAATCTGCGGCCACAGATGCCGGCAGAGAGAAGGAAGGTGGCAGCACCGAACAGGATTTGCACCTGCGGCATTGCAAGCAACAACTTCCGCGAGATAAGCCAACTTGCCTTCAACTTTCCCGGTCCAAGTTTTGCATTTAGGATGTAATGTTGAACTGGAGAGACGTTGGCCACCTGTGTTCATGCAGGCAGGTCTGGATGGGAGGATGGATGGATGGAAGGATGGATGGATGGATGCATGGTACGATGAATAGATGGATGGACGGATGGACAAACGGACGGATGAATGTGTGTATGCATGCAAACATGCGTGCCTGCATGAGTCCTGCAAGTTCATGCATGTATGAATGTCCGTGTAGTTACGTGGGTTTGCACAAGAAGCAGAACTCTTGGGTGGTAGGTTCAGCGAGTTTGGCTCGTCGCTCTCAGCTGCAGGCCTGGGCGATGCCTTCTCACGGAACTGCGCTCTCGCCACAGTGCCGCGCCCGTATTGGTTCGAGTGGTCTTTCAGTGGGTCTGGTGATCTCCAAACCGTGACACGATGTCATCCTGGGTGCTCCTGAATGAAAATGAGGAGTGTGGCCTTTCAATGCTTGCGCCGGCAGAATATGTGCGCATATCTTCTGAACACATATGAATTCATTTGTTTCTTGATTGTTTATGAATTGCTTATTTACACAGACTGATCATATGGATTCTTATCTATGTTTTTCGCTTGTCTACATGTACGCACTCATTCATTTGCCGTTTTGCTTAGCAACTGTTTTATCTTATCGGCTCGTTTATAGGTATTGGCGTAGTCATGTGTTTATGTGCCTCGCAGTTGGTACGTTGCATCTTCGGGGTTTCGAACTGAGCATTTACAAACAGGATGTCCGCCCTCATACACCCACAATCCGAGGAATCTGGCCGGAGGCTTCACGTTGACCAATTTATAGCATCAGCTTAGTTTTGTATGAAAGGGTATGGGGTCGTTGCACAGTCGCAGCATCTTTCCGAGACGAGGAGAGCCGTAAACAAACTGCATGGATGGTGTGGATACGCGCACAACACGAGGATCTCGCATGACTGACTGGAAGAACAGGAATCCTATCATGAAGCCACTCACTACACATTCACTACACAGGTGACCCATGCTGCCAACAGAAAGCAGAAACTTCAATCAGCTCCATCTTCACAGCAACCCTCTCGTACATGCAGCACCTCTGCGCCCAAACTGGTGTCCGTGGTGCTGAACAGGTTCGTGGGAACCTGCGCGACTCGGGGCCATCATGAACCATGTCTTGTATAGCCCACCTCAACATCCCGGGAAGAGAAGCTTCAGGACTTTACGAAACCTGCACTTCTTTTCAAAACCCCTTCATGCCGAAAACATCCAGATTGCCAGGACAAGTTTGAACACAGTTGTTTTCGGTATGACAACAATCACGACTAGCAGAAAGAGTCGGTGCAACATGTCATGTCCTGAATAAGCGCCCATGATTCGGAACCTTGAACCCCAATCTGGACAGCTAGGCAAGTCTGTGCCTTACAGGACATCGCGACTAAACCAATGTACACTCAGCTCTTGTTCGACAGCGGTCTGCACTACCTCGTGACTCTAGTGCAAAGACCGCTCGGGGTTCTTTCCTGCCGCCGGAAATCTAAACTTCAAGACAAGAAAGTACGGTGGCCTCCAGCAAAAGCCTCGGAAAGGAAAATCAAAGAGCATGTTTCATGTCATCGCGGTCTTCATGCATGAGACAAACTTTGTAGAAAGCCGGTCGGGCAAAAACCGGACTGTTGCAAGATGAGTCGGGTGCTCACGTTGGGTTACAACTTCGAAGACTTCGATTCAAGACCGCTCTCACATTGTCGAACTTGAACGCCGCTTCAAGAAAGGCTAATATATCCAATATATCTCACATGCCCCATTAGGCAACATATCACGTGAAATGCTCAAAACCCGCCGACTTTGTTTCAAAAGTCCGTGCCATCGGACATGCTCTTTGGCGAGGGCAGTTCTTGCTCCGGAAATATCCAAAGCTGCGCAAAAGCCCTGCCTGCATGCACCTGCGCAAACGCATACAGGAGTGCTGCCAGGCGATGTCGGGTTAGCAGTGAAGAGTCTAAACGAGGAACTATCCAGCTGAATCTGTCTATCTTATCGAATTTGTCTGTCGGTCTATCTGTCTCACGACATAGCTGTCGCTACAGTATATGAAAAGGCACATGTATGTATGCTTCCATGCATCCATGTACCTGTGTGTACAGATTTTGCTATAGAGATAGATATCTATATATATATATGTATACTTATAAACTTATATATACATATATATATATACAGATATAGCTATATATATATATATGTGTGTGTGTGTGTCTGTCTCTGTCTCTGTCCCGGTGTATTCAGGGGCATGGGTGTGGGTGTCTGGCTGTTTTACCGCCGTGGGTACGAATGAGGGCGCCCGCAGCTAAGCCTTCTCTGAGCCCGGGTCGAGGTCGTTGCGGTCGTCGCCGAATGACTCTGTGACGCCGAAGCCTTGGGAAACATGGAAAATGAAAAAGACGCTTTGAGGCTCAATAGGTTTCACGGCTTCAAATGGTATGTGGCTACCCAAGCGCTGAATAAGCTCGACGCCGAGAATTTAACGACCTCTACTCGAGCCACGTGCGCCCTGTACAAGGACAGCGCGGCCGAATGTAATATCCGCTTTTCAGTGTATCATGCTCCCATAGACTGTGGTTTGGATTTTTGTTCGCAACCTAAGCATGAACTGCACAAGAGCCACCTGTGAGGATGAGGTGGTGGTGGTAGTGGTCGAATTCCTTGGACGAGGGAGGGTAGCAGATTTTGGTTTGAGGCATTGACAGGACCTCGGCATGCTGTGGTATCCAAATGTCAATTCTGCAGACAACCACATGCCGAAAAGCGTAATTATCCCGCACTGTCAGGAAGCAGAATGAGGCAGATTGGAGAACTTGTTTTGGAAAAGGCAAGCTGCACGACCCTAGGATGTAGAATGTTGCAGCCATGGCGCATTGGGGTGGTGATGGCAGCGAGGAACGCCTGTCCAAGCGAATTTGCAGCAAGGCTTCGGCATCGGGTTTGGGGTACGTGCGGCATGCATGGTTCCACATGTAGCAGCATCTGCAAGACACACCGAGGACTGGGATGTCAATATGGAGTCCTGCATGTTCGATTTGGAAGCCACTGAGACCTAGACCTAAATGCCACTCTTGCAACTCCTACAATCAGGCTGCAGCCCCAAATTAGCTCCCGCACCTATCTCGGAGGCCCGCTGCTAGGAAGAGTACTGATATCCTGACACGCTAAACACGCAAACGTCACACCATCACTATGCAGCCGTCCACAGAATCAGGGGCTTGCGGCTTGACCGCCCGCCTCGATGCCCGCAAAGGAGTCACGCAGTGAAAGCTCCTTCAAGAGGGCAAGGCTTAAAATCCAGAAAGCTTTTGAACTTTATCTAAGTTTTCCGAGCGACAGCAGCAGGTTGGGCGCTTCGGGTTTCGGGTAAACTTTCTTCTGAACTTGAGGTGTGGACTGCTGGGATTTAGCCGTGTCTGCGGAGATCAGCGTAGGCACGACGGCGTCAGGGTTGGAGAAGCACTTGCGAGCTTTTCGTGCTTCCCGGGCTTCCCTGAAGGCCGAGGCCAACGGCATAAGGCTCTGCGAAGTTGTGGCTGTGGATAGGAACCCGGAGTGGCGAAGATTGAATTCGGATTCACGCAGCCGATGATAGCTGGACAGGATTCAAGAAGAGGTCATGACAAAGACCTCTGGTTCAGAGCCGGGTGCAGAGGTGCGGGCCGCTCGATTGAAACCACGTTGGAAAGACATCATTGCGACTTGGAACTCCCTGAGATTCACTAAAAAAAAAAAGCAAACTGTTGGAACCTGTTCGAATCGGTAGCAGAAGTCTTGCAACTGATCTCCTTGTTCGGAAATCCGCATGCTGCAACCCATAAAGCCCTGCACTGACCTTGCCCAGACACAGTGCTCCTCGAGTTGCCGAATGAGATATGCAGAGCTCTGATCGCCTGCATGTGCTTGCAGGTGGCCATTTTGTTGGCAGGTCACACTCTGCCCTGAACTTTAAAAGAGGCCCTAGAATGGCCTTACAAAAAACGGCTGCAAGACTTTGACGCCCGAAATGTGCTAAATCCCAGAACCTTCAGCATCATCCCTCTTCCCCGGAGTCCGACGTTACGCCACTGGCCTGGCACAGCCAGAACCGCCACGGCAGCAATCAAGGACCCCCTCTGCAAGGACGCAACAGCGAGGTGCCTTTTCATTTCTTTGGCGGCATTTGAGGGTAGTCTGACGTTGCATGACTGCAAGATTATTCTAAGATCTATAGTGCCGTGCAACCTGGAACAAAGGGTGCTTCAGGACATATTGACGATGTCTTGCCGCGAGTCTGAGGGGCGGAAGGCTTATAGCTGGGAGGTCAAGTGTAGCTGCTGTTCATCAAAGGTCTCCTGCCATCCGGCGAGAACTTCTCAACAAAATACAGACTATATGGGAGATGTGTGCATTTCCACCAGCAGCCGGGTATGTAGAGCATTTCATCCAAGCTGGATAGCAGAGGTAACCCTGGACCGGAATAACCAGTTGACATGAGTTTCACTTCGCCATGCACGAACAGGTAGTCAACCAAACAGTCGAAGCTGCGATGTGGATGTAACCGGCACAGGACCCCTGACAATCCACATTGCAACCCGTTGCATCATGCCAATATTGAACTAGGACACAAAGAAAGCACGAAAGCCAAACTAGGACATGGATATGTAATATTGACCCACTGATAATCAAGCCCAATAGTGAGGTAAGGATATCCGTGTGACATGACTGGGGACGAATCCTGAAAAAAAACAGGTGGCAAACGGGAAGGAACTCCCTGACGTATCGACTGATTGCCTGGAGCCGAAGCCTCAAAGTCAAAAAATCAGCAAAGTGTCCCAGGAGAGGCGTCGAGTGCTTCCGTGAGCCCTTTCAGGAGGCTTCGCGCGAAGTCCGCACGACGGTGCCTGCAATGTGCATAGGCAGTCATGGTGCTATGCTACCCGAACTAAAGGTGCGTCAGACAGGCTCATGTTCTTGTTCTCCTGCTGACTACGTTTGCAAGAATGCTATCACTGCCAAACCCATGTGGCCTGAAGCATCTCAACGACACGTCGCGAACTTCTATTGGTTTCGCATCATCTTAGTCTCAGGCACTTGGGTGCCCCTGCTTGGCCGTACAGCACGAAATTTAGCATTTCCGAGCTGTTGGCAGCTCATCGACAGGCACAAAGCTTTTTTGCTATGTCTACCGAGCGGCATTGTCAACATGACCTATGCACCTGCCTGGTAGAAGTACACACTATCAATATGCGACTACAACACCCCAAATCAACCCGAGTAGAGCCACTTTATCGGGAACGGCATTGAGGCAAGTCCAGAATTGCGACCCTTGAGAACTCCAAAATTGTAAAACATCAACACTTCGTGCAGGAACCTGGATGACCCGGGTCTGTATGTTCGCAGAGCTTGCTGTGTCCTGGCTACCCTTTTTGACTAGGATACTTGAAGCTCGCAAGGACCTAGCTTTCAATCGCAGAGCACGAAAGTGTACGATCGTCAGCCACATTCCGGACAATGCAGCCAAGTCGCTCAAAATTGATGGCAAAAGTCAAGCTGACGGTGGCCTGAAATTGACTTGTCTTTGTCAGATACTTAGACTATTCACGTTCACATCTTCCTATGAGGAGGACCTTGATTCCCAGTTTGAAACAACCCTGGAATGCACTTTGCCGTGGCTTAGGACTTACAGGAGTTGTGCAAATGGAGAAAAGACTCAACCCATGTGGTACAGCGGTTTAGGGTCCTGGAAGCTGTTGAAGATTCCAAGCTAAAAACCCCGCAGCGCAGCCCCTCAACTTGCGCAAAGCTCGTCGTCAGATGGAACTTTCAGACAGCCGCTTGGGGCGTCAAGCCGATTGTTTCCATCTTCGAAGTGTTGCAGTGTTGGACATTTCAAGCCGGATGATGGATACCATGACCACGTAAGTAGGTCAAGGGTCCTGCTTCGGAGAGGCCTCGATGCTCAAACCCCTCGCCACACTCCCAAGTGACAACCTGGAATGTCAGCCCAGACATCCTGAGCCTAAAGTTTCGACCTGATCTCTGATCATAAATTTGACATGGCAGAGCCGTGAACCTGCGTCGTCAGTGCCGATGAATCCGAAGCCAAAGCTGATGAGAACGACGAATCCCATCAGCACATTGATCACCACGACAAATGAGACTGTAAATGCTCATCGTCAGACTGTAATCATCGCTATCCCAAAAGCATCACCACCATCATAATCATCACCATCATCAGCATCGTCAGCACCATCACAAGCATCATTGTCCAAATCATCGTCATTACGAACGGAACATCACATCTGACTGCTTGCTGTCACCCCCACGACGCTCGCCTTCCCAATCTTTCTTTCAGCTTCCACATCACCGCTGCAAGCCCTGAAGCCGTGAATCACTGTAGCACAACACCTTGAAAGGCTACATAGACTTAGTAGAGAACTTTGTGACACTTTCGGTGAAGCTTGGGGCAAGCAATAATTTGGGCATCTGCGGCGGAAGTATCACCATCACGCTCGGTCGAGCCAAGCTCCGGGCTATCGAAGGGTGCTCGGAGCATCCCAGCATGCCCGAGGGCTCCAGGACCTTAGGGACAAACTTCTTGCAGTTTTGGAAGCCCCCTTCCCGCCTCCCTCCCTCTCCCCTGCCTCCCTCCCTCCTCCCCTCGCTCGCTCGCTCGCTCTCTCGCTCTCTCTTTCTCTCTGTCTCTCTCTCTCTCTCTCTCTCTCTTTCTCTCTGTCTCTCTTTCTTTCGCCAGGTCTATGATGCAGGGGGAAACTCCTGTCTCTCTCTGTCTCTCTCTCTCTCTCTTGCTGTTTCTCCCTCTCTCTCTCTCTCTTCGTTCTGCTGGGCTTAGGGGTCGTCTGGCGCACTCAGACCTTCGGCCCGCCCAACCACCCCCTGTTTTTCTCTCTCGATCTTTTTCTGTCTGACTGACTCACTCACTCACTCTCGCATTGCTCGTGCTCGTTCTCACGCTCTCTCGCACTGTCACTTGCGCTCTTTGCGTATCGACAAAATTTCTGGCTCACATTATTCACCCTCCCTCCTCCCTCCCGGCCGCCTCCTTCCCTTCCTGCCAGCCCTCTCAAAATCGACCGGGCGACCTACTCCGAACAACTTCGAGCCTCCAAATGCATAAAACCCGAGCTCAATCCACGAAGCCCAACAAAAACTGAAGCTCTAGCTGCCGCCCTCTGCTGTTCGCCGAGATGCCACTGTCTGCGCCCTCGATGCACAAGCTTCGATGCAATTCAACTCCTCGCTTGCGGCATGTTCTCCGTGCTATCATACTCTTCAAGCCAACTATCGTCCTCGCAGTAGCATAGTAGCAGCAAAGTAGCAGCAATGCAGTAGCAGCAGTGGTAGCAGAGTTGTAGCAGTAGAAGCAGAGGCAGTAGTAGCTGCAGTAGCAGTAGTGGAGAGCAATGGTAGCAGCAATAATAGAAGGCATGGTAGTGGTAGTGGCAGTAGCAGTAGCAGTAGCAGTCTGAAGTTTGTCGAACATCGTCTTGACAGGAGAGAGCCATGCACCGGGGCTGGGCTGACCTCGACGGTTCGAGGCAGCTTGCAGTATGTGCCTTGGCAGCTTTTGTGTTGCTCTTGGAGCTTGTCCGACTGGGTATCATTTCAATCAGGAGGGCCTCAGACTTCGCATGGCACGCGACAGTTTACATGCAAAGGTACTGCCCGGTGACTGAAGTGCTCGTCTTTCCAAGGATGGTATCTGCAACCCCGAGGATCCCAAAAAGCCTGTAGGGACTGTAGGGTATCGCCCAGCTGCGGATCAATGCTTCGGATGTCAGTTGGGCCAGTGCCTGCCAAAAGGCTGCATGGTACGGATGAGGGGGCATCGAGGACCTCAGGGCCTTTGGGTTAAAAGTTCTGTGGTTCTTGGCTGAGGCTTTCGGACGTGGTGTCTGGCACCTTGATGTTTCGCATCTTTGGGATGGCTGCGCCCCGCACCATCACCGGTCGAACTTTCGACACAGATGCGGGGGTTGTTCAAAACGGTGGGTCCTTCGTTCGTGTCTTTGCTGAAATCGCAGATAATACGGAACTTCTCGAATGGAGAACTTCAGAACAAATGTCAAGAGTGACGTTAGGTCTAACTTACCCATCGAGATGGCCTCAACTACTCCGGCATGCCGTCGCTGGTCATTTTGAGAGTAAACTCTCTCCAGGAAGGTGGTTGAGATGGGCACCGAAAGCCGTTCTGGGTTCTGTAGTTCAATTGGTAGGCGCCCTCTGACGACTTCTCGCTGTCCAGCCAGGAATGCAGCAGCAGAACGTTGCGGACCATAGCACCTGTAAAACCTTGAGCTCTTATTTTTCATAACACCTTCCAGAGCCTGAGAAGGCAGACCGCCATCACCAGCCACCTGCACAGGCATTCGATTTGAACAGCATCCTTCTTGTCCGGAAGTCATATGATTTCATGTGGCAGGTTTTGCAGACCATAATTCTGCAACTGCGCCAGAAAAATCGTTTCGAATCTGCTCTCAGTCCTGAGCTTTACCCCGACACTCCACGATTCTCTCTTGCAAGAGCCCTACCACATCCAGCATTCCAAGACCAGTGGTCGCAATCGGAACAGTAAACGACGGTAATATACCCAACTTGCAAAATGCTGACTGACATTCATGGCAGTGGATCCTGTCCTGATTCTATGCCTGCTCCATCACAAGCATCGATGCTCCTTCCTTCCTTCATCCTTCCTCCTGCCCTCCTTCCTTCCCTCCCGCGTAACTCTGTATCTCCGTCTCTCTCGTCTCTCTGTCTCTACCTATCTACGCGTAAATACACATAAATAAACAGAAAACAAGAGATGAACAAATGAATACGTGTGCATGCATGTATTATATATGTATATGTTATATATTGATGTGGTTTTATTTATATGTAAAGAGAGGCAGTGAAAGAGAAAGAGAGAGAGAGAGAGAGAGAGACAGAGAGACAGGGAGAAAAACCAAGACAGAGACAGAGACAGAGAGAGAGAGAGAGAGTGCGTGCGTGCGTGTGCGCGCAGGCCTGCGAGGGAGGATAGGGAGAGCGAGAGACACACACGCACATGACATTGTCATTGCCTCACCTGACCAGCAGCTTCGAAAGCGGCCTCTGCTACCTTCAGGCCGGGAAGGATGGGCTTGTAAGGTGTTCGGAGGAGTTGAAATGCCGATCTGAGTGTTCTTGAAAGAACATGCTCCGAACGTCGTTACGGCCACCCTACTTTCCACACTCTCTGATTTGCCACTCTTCTTTGGGATAAGTTGTGATAACCTCCCAACAGAATACACAGGCCTTACCCATGCTAAGCACGTTGACAAGTGCCACAGTCTGCAGCTGCAAATAAGATTTACAGGTCGGCCTCTCCAGTGATAGTACAAAATGGGAAAGCAGGCACCTTATCAGCTGCCAAGCCCGCTGTTGCGGCCGCTGCTGCTGCAGCTGCTCCTGCCACCATCGCAGCGTCCTCCACCGTCATGCCCGCTTGCGTGGCTGTGGATGCTGCAACCTGCCCAGCAATCGAAGCCTGCTCTTGAAGAGAGATGTTGCCAATGGTTGCTGCCGCGTCTGCTGCAACCTCAGCAGCAAGCTCTGCTTGCAAGGCAGCTGACATGTTGCAGCTGGCTGCTGCGGCCGCCGCTGCCTGTCCAGATATGACTGCCTGATCCGATGCAGTCAAGTTCGTCGTCTGCACAGTTGCCAAGGCTGCTCCACCGACTTGTCGGACCACATCTGCCGAGCAATTGACACTTCTGAGCAAGGCCGCTTGAATGGCAGCGCCACTGATCGAAGCGGCAACCGGTCCACTGACCCCGGCATTGGCGATGATGGCCAACACCACTGGGGTTGACAGCTGCATTTGTGATTCTAGAGATAAAGCAGCATTCTGCGTGGCAGCAGTTGCTGCTGCAGCTGCTGCCAAAGCGGCCTGGTCGTCGACACTTAGCTCACTGGCTGCCTCAGCTGCTGCAAGTCCCGCTGCGTACGACATGTTGGCTAAGGTCATATTCGCAAACGCCCCTGCTGTGGCTGCAGCAGCTCCTGCCAGCTCTGCCACTCGCTGCACTGTTGCATTCGTGCCACTCATAGCCGCCGATGCTGCTGCTCCTGCAACTGCTGCTTGGATCTGCGCCGACAAACCCCCTGTTGCGGCCGCTGCTGCTGCAGCTGCTCCTGCCTGCCATCGCAGCGTCCTCCACCGTCATGCCCGCTTGCATGGCAGCTTCCAAAGCAGCCTCGCTTGCCACTCCTGAGTGAATAAAACGACAGACAAACGAAGGTTGAGGCTGGACCGTCGATAAGAAGAACGGCGTTTAAAGCCTTGGTGTGGAGCTCCATGCTTCCGACTCAAACTGCTGCGGTCACCTAGACTGCACATAAAGCGGTGATCGAAAACCCCGAAACCACCATCAAGCAGAGCCTCCTGTGAAGCTTAATGGCTCAGCAGAATTTCGATAATGGTCAGCGGGAGTACTTCTATCATTCTGATACCTGTAGCTGCCTCATGCCGAGGCACAACCATTTTGAAAGACTGGTAGTCGAAGACACTGCTGTTGAGCTTTGAGTTTGGCTGCTGCGAGTCTGGATTGCTATTGTCAAACCAGCAGCAGTATACAACTTCTAGTTATTCATACTGAAAGTAGGATTTCTTGGCATTGCTACTGGTGCTGTTTGGGTTTGTTCTTTTCACTGATATGCTAGTGGCACTACTGTATTTTACAATTGCTGCTGCCCTTGCTGTGAATATTAGCAGTAGACACTAAATGTCATAAATTCTTGCAGTGATTGGTCGACAGTATGTTGGCAACCCGCGAGCAGCATACGTGTCAGGCCCAGATTCTTGCTTGATCTTCTCCGGACAAAGCAGCCGCTGCGGAGGCGGCCGCGGAACCTTAATTGCAACCCACACTTAGGATATGTGCACAAAAACGAGGATGAGATGATTAGGGCCAAGGGGGAGAGTTTGGGTGTATGCGATGGGTTTATGCTGAGTGACTCGCTCGCGCTTGGGACTCTGCAGACATGGTGAGGGGCATAGGATAGGTGCAGCGACATCACGGGACACATCCACGTCCTTCCTGTATCAGTCTTCCAGAGAGGGAAAGCCTGGAATCGCTCCTGAGACATGAAAGTCTACCGACAAAAGACATGGTCAAGGTGTTGAAAAAGGTTGAGAGCAGCGTCGGATGCGCGACAAATCCCCGAAGTTTCTGAATGTATGTCTACACGGCTCTGCAGAATTCTGTCGGAGCGGCAGGGGATTTGTAATATTCTGGACAATCCTGCAAGTTTTCCAGAACTTACCCTTCAAGCAGATTCTAGGAGCCATCAACCTGAGGACGGAACCTGCTGCTCGCACGATCCGCTCGGCAGTGAAACCTTGGGAATGGCCGCGCATGAGCACAGCTTACAGGGTATTTGGAATCCTGCATGTTGGTGAGAATCTACTGAGCCTGTGATTCGGGCGCTGTTACGCATGCCACGACTTGGTTTGGGCAACTCTGCCTCCTCCCGTGGGAGTGCGTGCGTACTTCGGGATACACTGCTCAAACTTGACTGGCTGTTCCGTAGTCGCTACAGAATGAGCAACTGTATGACCCGGCTTCCACAGCTGTTCGTACGGGCACATGTACTGATCATTATTAGTCTCAAAATTCCGGCAACGAAAAACCAAAAAGAGCAAGCGCCTCAAGCTTGCTACACTCTAAGCATTCAGCCGCATTAATATGGCTCGCAGAGTGCTGCTAAAGAAACGGGACAAGTCATTGTGACCTCTTGCCCCCGAAGATGCCAGCAGCAGAAGCAAGAAAATGTGCAATATTATATGCTTCTCCCGAACATCACATGCCTCACTTGCATCTGGGAGGCCAGACTGTGCCTAAACAAGAAACACAACAAGGATGTGTTAAAGGTACCCCTTCAGTCAGGTAAGGCAAAATTAAGGATGACCCACCCGAAAGCATATGCGTGGGCGGCCAACTTTTGAGCTGAAAGTTCGGCCTGCCCACCTCCCTCCTCTGCCGCGGCCGCAGCAGCAGCTCCAGCCGCAACTGCCCGCAAGCTCACCGGCAGAAGCTCTACCTCAGCATGAAGCTTGAAACTGCCAGCGGCAT